TTAGCCTCTGTTTGATTCCTTTAGCCTTGTTTGACTCTCTTTAGCCTTTGTTTGACTCTCTTTAGCCCCTGTTTGACTCCTTTAGCCCCTGTTTGACTCTCTTTAGCCTCTGTTGTTTGACTCCTTTAGCCTCTGTTTGACTCTCTTTAGCCTCTGTTTGACTCTCTTTAGCCTCTGTTGTTTGACTCCTTTAGCCTCTGTTTGATTCCTTTAGCCTCTATTTGATTCCTTTAGCCTCTGTTTGATTCCTTTAGCCTCTGTTTGATTCCTTTAGCCTCTGTTTGACTCCTTTAGCCTCTGTTTGACTCCTTTAGCCCCTGTTTGACTCTCTTTAGCCTCTGTTCTGCTCGTTTTAGCTCAACCAGCAGAGTTAAATTCTTCAGCCACTGATCACTCAGCTTTCATAGTTTTAGTTTGACTTGTTCTCTGATTCAGAAGCTGATTCATGCTCATAAATCCTAATAAACTATAAACTTTGTGAAAGTTTCTGTGAATCCGTCCTGTGAGGACTGTGGGCCCGGGCTGACAGGCAGAGAAACCCAGCCTTTGTTCTCGCTGCGGGGGTTTTTCTTCTCATCACAGCCTCAGAGACTTATGGTATATGTCGGCATGCCTAAAAATAGGTCGACTAGACAGGTGCTCTCCTGCGGCAGCACGCCTCCGTTGCTCGTCTCTCTTCTCACTTTCATTCGTCTCTTTTCGCTCAGACGCTCGGCATCAGGAGCCTGAAAGAGGCTGGCAGGAATCCATCCCTGAAGCTCCGTGGCGCAGACGCCAACCGGGCCACCGTCTCCTCTTCAGCACCGTGTGAGCGCCGAGAAATCAGATACAAACTCTCCTTGTTTGTGTTTTGTGTTTGCTGATGACGCTGTAATCTGCGACGCCCCCGACACTCTGCTGGGTTTTTATTTAGAAGAGCTTAAAGTTGAAACGGGTCGGGGCCAACGATGAGCTTCCATGGCCGGATGTGCACGAACACTAATTCTATTCGTTTATACAGGTTTTATTTTATTGCACAGTTATCTAATCATTCCAGGACTCGATGCTTCTGTCTGATCTTTTTATTGTATGAATAAATTAATTGTTGCAAACAAGAAATGTTGTAAATTATTGATCAAACCTTCAAACACTGATCAGCCTTGAACCTAAACCCATAACAATTCAACTAAATATAGATTTCTATAAAGCTAATTTGATTTTCCTAATTGGGAACGTCAGAAGACTTTTGCTCCTTGAAGATTTTTATTTTTTTAAAATCTGGATCTATTCCTGAGAAGAATAAGCACAATTATCTTTTTTATTTTTGCCTGAAAGAACCAGATTCTGTAAATATTAAGGATTAGAATTAAACAAAATTGAGAGAAAATGAAGTTTTCTTTTGGAGTCCCACATGGTACCTCCGACACTTTCAGGGACGTAACAGAATAATTTGACGTTTGTCTGTGATTAATAATTTAATTTAGCTGCACAAAGCCCAAACCTAATTATAACTGACTGATCCTTAGATTTTGTTCCCCAATTTTAGTTTCTCATTAAGCTGCCAAACTTCTCAAACTGACACCGACTTGGTACGAGACGTCTGCATTCGAGAGAAATTTAATTCCACGATTTATTTATTTTCGTACAAGTAATCGAACGTTGAGTGGGTCGACGTCGTCGCGCTGCATCGATGGTGGTTTTAATGTTCTGGCTGATGGGCACAGAACAAGACGTGACCGAAGATCTTTTCCTGTTGGAGATACAAACGTTGACGTTTCCAGTTCAGTTTTACTCCGAGCCCCTCTAGTTTTGTTTTCTTACTATTTAAATAAACTCTAAATTATATTAAAAAAAAAAAAAAAGAACAACTGCTGACGTTTGTCGTCATTGTGCTCCGGCGTATTACGCAAAACGTTTTTTAAATCAAAGTAAACTGCTGCTCGTTTTGCAAAAGTGACGAAAATTACATTTTTATTTGAAAATAAATAAGTTTGATTCCGCAACGTCTGATCTTAAATTTTTCTCCAAGCAAATTATCTCTTGAACTATTAGACTAATTATAAAAAAAATGGTTTGACGCACATGCACGAGTGAATAACTTTAATAAGAGTGAGCCATGCTGGCTTTAAACAGGGTTATTTTACAGATATGCAGCTAAAATTTGGTGTGGTAGTAGCCGAGAGTCATCCCTAACATGTAGTTTGAGTGTCGTCTCATAACTCGCAGATGTTGTGTAACGTTAAGGTTTTGACTGAAACGGCTACAACTCCGTCAGACGAGCTGTGGCTTGAAAGGTGGGGGGTGATCTGCATTTCTTCAAGGAGCTCCGGTCCTTTATTTGGTTTATGATCAATCAACATGATTCTTAACGATTAGAAACCATAAATCTGCGTAAAACAGCCCTAAAGTGACAGTTCTGATCTTTTAAATTAACGTTCTGTGAACAATTAATATCTTACCTGTTGTAGATGGCTCGTTTATAACCTTTTCCACAGAAACGTCTGAACAGTCCCTTAAACGTTTATGAAACTTTTTAAAATAAACTTGAATGTGAGTTTTGTTGGGAAGGTGAAAAAACGAGACATGAAACGAGACAAACTTTGTTCTTCAAATATATAATCTTAGGTCGGTCATACAGATATATACATTGTATAATAAATAATAATATAAAAACATAACATTTAGGATTATAAAATAAAAAGGGAACTGTTCACTTTAAAACATTTGTACAAAGCTTTGGATATAGCGGGAAAAGTGGGAGGGTGGAGGCAGGAAGGTGCGCCCGAGTGACGCCGACGTTGGAGGACCACCTGAAGGTTGCGCCTCGCTGAGCTGTGACAACACGTTGCTGGAAAATCGGCAACGTTTCCGTTGCAGTGAGTTCTGTTTGCAACCAACCAGCAAGTATTTTAAACGTTAAAATCCACAGCCCGTTTTCATGTTCATGACTTGATGAACTGCGTTCTTCCTGTGATCTATTCTAGTGGTGCAGGGGTGTCCAGTCCTGGTCCTCGAGGGCCACTGTCCTGCACGTTTTAAAGCAGGTGTGCCCGGACCTCTTCAGCGTGCAGCTCCTTTTAAAATGACCAGGTCAAAGTCATCTACCTGCTATAATGCTCCGTTTACATGAGAACAACCTCTGGAAACGTTTGTGTTTTTTCAGTGTTTTTAAACAAAAAATGAGCGGGTTTACACGGAAACACTGTAGCTTCCATGTCAGTCGGGTTGCCAGATAAGAAATTATGAACTATAGTACTGTGGCTTTAAAATAACAGTATTTTGACCTAAACTGTCACTTGTGCTGAGCAAAGATATTCTAAGATGAGGTGTGTGTTTGTTGAACATGTGCACAGAATAGGAGGGAGTAAATAAGAGGTTTTAAATTTATCTGGCAACCCTGATGCAGGGCTTGGCTGCATTCGTTGCACATGCAGCATCTGCATGACAGTTAAGTCTCTTTGGAGCCTGGATTTAATTAGTTTTGCTCCTTCACGCTGAAAAATGGAGAGCAGCACAAAAACACTCTGCTCTCTGCCGTTTATTATAACTGTTGTTATTTATTATAACTATTATTTATTATAACTGTTATTTATTATAACTGTTATTTATGATAACTGTTTTTATTTATTATAAATGTTATTTATTATAACTGTTATTTATTATAACTGTTATTTATTATAAATGTTATTTATTATAACTGTTATTTATTATAACTGTTGTTATTTATTATAACAGTTATTTATTATAACTGTTGTTATTTATGATAACTGTTGTTATTTATTATAACTGTTATTTATTATAAATGTTATTTATTATAACTGTTGTTATTTATTATAACTGTTATTTATTATAACGGTTGTTATTTATTATAACGGTTGTTATTTATTATAACTGTTGTTATTTAACTGTTATTTATTATAAATGTTATTTATTATAACTGTTGTTATTTATTATAACTGTTGTTATTTATTATAACTGTT